GCTGACAGGTAGCTGAGCTCCCTTGGCCATAACAACACCTATAGTGTTGTTTTTTCCCAAGACGATGATTTGGAATATACTGGTGCATCAGATACTCAGTCCACTACAAACAAGGCAATCTTTAGCAGATGTTTAGACTAGTCAAAGCCTGCCTGGAAGCTTATCACACATTAACTAACTCAAACCTAGTTCAGAAAGGAAGGGAAGATGCCAATGACAGTATCATTAGAATGCCATGGGTTGAAAGGGACCTTAAATATCATCTAGTTTCAAACACCCTGTCCTGGGCAGGGATGTCACCCACTAGAGCAGATTGCTCAGAGCCCCATCCAGCCTGGCCTTGAACTGTTCCAGGGATGGGTCATTCACAACTTCTCTGAGCAGCCTCTTCCAGAGCCTCAGCAACGTCACAGTAAAGAATTTCCTCCTTACATCCAGTCTAAATCTCTTTTAGTTTAAGTCATTTACCTTTGCTCTATCACTATCTGCCCATATAAAAAAGTTCCTCTCCCTCTCTTTTAAAAACCCTTCTAAGTGCTGGAAAGCCACAATTAGGTCTCCACAGAGCCTTCTCTTCTCCCAGCTCTCTCAGCCGGTTTTCATAAGAGAGGTGCTCCAGCCCCTGATCATCTTCATGCCCCTCCTCTGGGCCTGCTCTAAGAGATCCATGTAGCTCTTATGCTGAAGACTCCAGATCTGCACCCAGCCCTCCTTGTGGGGTCTCACGAAGGCAGAGCTGAGGGGCAGAGTCACAACCTCAGCCAGACAGCTGGTGTTGCTTCTTGTTTATCAAATTGTTCACTGTGGCCCAAAGAGGTCAGTCCTAACGGATCCCATCCTTCCAGTGCATCTCACTGGACCGAAGAGAACTTAACTCCCCAAATAACTCATTCTTGCTCAGAATTGCTTTTCTGCCACCTTAGCAAAGGAGATCAGCCATCAAGGAGTCCAAAGTATGCCAAAGCAAGTGCAAAGAGAGGTGTGGGGGGAAAAGGTGCTGAATGAGTTGTTAGGTCAGCTCAAGCCATGACAGGTACCTTTGCCCTCACTCCTGCTTTCAGTGTGACACAATATTAAGGGTGCTGACAAAGGAGCTCTGTCAAGTCTTGTGGCTGCAGTTGGAGGACACATCACACCAAAACACGGCTGCTCTGCCATGATACCTGCACAGCAGGCAAAGGAACGGCACAGCTGCTGATGCCTCAGCTATTGCTGTGTAAAACTAAGCCCCCAGTGAAGGTGGAAGTAAGGCTCTGGACTTTGCACTTTTGGAGGGGCTGAGGCAGAAACACATTCTTTTCTGCCAGTACTGCAGAGGAGAGGTTGAAACCTGCAGCAGAGGGTTGGGAAGGGCAGGTGGGGTTAGTGACCTCTTAAGAAGCCATGGCAAGGTGTGCTAGCACTGGTGTGTCATCCCTGTACAAACACTACCTGCCCCTTGGCCAGAGGCGTTGTATAACCATACCAACATTGTCAGAAGAGTAACTTCTGTAGGCAGAACTTCAGTTATTTTCTCACTAGATCATGAAGCATCAGCTCTACAAATCATGCTATGAGGTATTAAGAGTACTGTTTTACCGTTTTTCACTGATATAAAGAATACTCTTCCCTTCCCTTTCTCTTGCTGGGGCCTTTGCAGTTCAGCCCTTGGCACTGAAGAAGTCCGGCTTTCCAGCGGGAAAAATCTGAAAACAAGACTCAAAATGTTTAAAACTCCCTGCTCTAAAAAAGTGTGAAGCAGTTAATCCGTAAATTCTCTTGTCAGAAAAATAGCATTAGTGTATAACTAATATCCAGGCTTGACTGACACCAATTATTCTAATCCTCTAAAACAAATCTCCTTAAAATCATTCTGCCAGCTTGCTAATGTCCTGTTTTAGTCTACTGAACTCTAATGTGTGCCATACTGGCAGTGAAAGCAACAGATATGCAGGACTCAGAAGTTTTCAAAATTAGATGAAATGGAAAATAAGAAAGCATGGAATTAATTTTAGAAGAGAAAAAAAATTTCTATATTGTAAGGATAAACAGAGCTTTACATGGCAGAGGGATTGCTCATCTATAATTGAATGATGTAGGATTTTTAATTAAATTGTGGTGACAGCTTTCATGCCTGAGATGCACAGCACTGTAAACAAACTTTGTGCATGTCCAAAAGTGCAGGTGACATGAATTGCCTGATTTCACACCCTCACGCCTTTGTTTGTGCCCTGTGCAACACTTACATTGTACATGCTCTGTGATAGCTTTGTTTGGAGAGCAGTGGAGTGGTCACAAGAAGTGCTGTGGAAGGTTCAATGTCTGGTCCTGTTCCAGCTCTTTTATTCTTCTGGGTGGTTCTCATACACCGTAGTATACACTGAGGACTGCTTTGCCTTTTTATTGGCAAGATTGTGGCTTAGTTTGGGAATTACTACAATTGCAGCCCAGCATCCCTCGACTCAGCTTTGGTACCCCTAAGGGGAATGAGAGAGCTCTTGAAGAGTGTCTGTGGGCTAGGCAGGAATTTGTCCTTTCTTGGTGATGATCAAGGTGATGTGTGACAGAGGCTGTGATTGCTCAGGTTACAAACTATGACGATGGAACGAAAACTGTTTCTGGGTGCAGTCTGCATGCATGGAGAAGTTCTAACGTAAGCAATAACAACCTCTATCACACACCTTCATTATTATCATCATCAAGGGACAAAGAGATGAAGTAAAATAGCGCTGGTAAATTAAAATAAATAGAATCACTACTCTTTGTTCCTCCTGATGTTTTATTCTCACATGGAACAGTAATGCATCTGACTGCTATTGCAAATGCAAGTATGAAAAGCACATCATGCTTCAAGGGACAAAACGCTTTGTCCACCAGAAAACCTGATTTGCCAACAAAGGGCAGCGAATGCCTTCCTAAGTAAGACACGACATCAGTGCTGGAGGAGTAAAAGTGTTTACAACTCTGTGAACATCACTCGGCAACTGGGGATGTGGACTCAGTTTTCTAAGACAAATCTCTAACTCTCTAAGATGACTTTTTCTGATGGAGACCTGGAATCAGTCTAACTCGTAATTTCAAACTTTCAAAACGAGAGAAATAAAGCTGTAAAGACCAACTTCAGCTACTGCCAGAAGGCATCCCTCTTAGCCCTTGACTTGTCAAAGTGGTATCATTACACTTGATAGAAAGGCTGGAAGTTCAGCATCTACAAATTCTGGTACAGGACTGTATATTAGCATGTGTGTGTAAACAAGAAAAGGGGAAAAAAATCAAAGGATAATGGCTTTTATATAATAAAAATGTGTGAACAGTACAACAATGCATCAACAATATTTCCTAATGTATCCAAATTTCATAATGTTGAGTCTTTGCAGTTGAACTAGTCTTGCATTCCTTGTTGATTATGACGACTGCTCTTAACTTATCATACATGACTGATTTCTCAGATAAGCATTAAGGGATTAATAAGATTCAGAATTGTATCTTATTAATTATAACCCCACTTTAATGTGAAGTGTGTACCTAAATCAAATAAGGTCCTTTGACATTCCATATCTCACCACATATGAATTTATCTGATGTAATGTTGCTCGGCTCTCGACAGAGCTGTCGGGGAATAACTTTAGAGGATTAGACCTGTGCTTAGCGCTAGGCACTGAGGGTAGACATCACTGGATTCCAGGAGAACAAACGTGGAATACGTGACCCGCTCCTGCATATGCCGGGGCCTGGAGTTTGCAGCTCGAGCAGCATCAGCAGCACGGACTGCTTGTAATCCCGTCTGGATGTGCGACGCGAAGGGGAAGAAAAGAACCGGCACAAATTTTGCCTTTTTTGGGGGTGAAACGTGCCGGGTTCCAGCCGGAGCCATGTCAGTCCCGCGCCGTGCCGTGCCGTGCCGTGCCGGGCGCTGAGCGGGCTCGGCGGGCACGTCCCGCACGGGCGGGCACACACACGGACCGCGTCCCGCGGGCTCCCGGCCGGAGCTCGGCCCGCGCTGCCACCGAGGGCTGCGGAGGGGGTGCTCGTGTGGCTGTGTGTCTGTGTGTCTGTATGTGCGCGGACGCCGCGAGCAGCAGGGATGCGCTCGGCGCACGGACAGCGCTCGGTGGCGGCGGTACTTCACCGACACCGACTCGGCACGGCCGCCCTGTCCCGCCCGGCTTGCCCGCAGCCAGCAGCTCTCCGCAACGTGACTTTGCTTCGGTTTTGGTTTCTGTGGAGGCTTCTCTTGTTTGTTTAGCAAATCCCGGACATGTTGCGTCTGTGAGCGGAGCTGAGCGGTTGCTGCTGTTCGCTTCTCAGGAAGCATTTTACGTGACAGCATGCTGCTCGTCGGGACAGACCCAGCAGCGACCGCGGGACCGTACTCCGCGGCTGGCCAGTGCAGGGACAGTGTTACCGGCAAGGGGCACGCGGGGGAAAGGCGAGTTTTGGTTTGGAACGAATTTTGCCACGGTTTGACCGTAGCTGTCCCGTCGCAGCACGAAGCCGCCGACTGTCCGGGAGGTATTTCCTGCTACCAGAGCAAAGCAACCTGGCGGGCCCTTTGGGATAAATAATTCAGGGAAGCGCTGTTTTGCTATGTAAACCTTTTGTAAAAGGCGCACTCCTCGCCCAGAAAAACTGTATGTGTATCTTAATGCAACAGTTCCGTCTGGTGCTGAAAGTGCCGCTGCGGTAGGCGGAGGTAAGAGGCGGCCGGAGAGCCCCGGCGGGGCATTTGCAAACTTCACTCGGACTATTCCAAGAGCTCCGGAGCAGGGCAGGGCAGGGCGCGGCGCGGGGGTCGCAGCCGACATGCCGGGGAGAATTCCTCAATGGCGCTGCCCACGCCCACTCCGGGGGCGCGCGGGACGGCGGGCCACGCCCCCCCGCGCACGTGTGGGAGCCCTCGCCGCGCGTTCCCCGCGGGCCGGCCCCGCCCCGCCACACACGATTGGCTGCTCGGGAGGCCGCGGGCGGGGAGGGGGCGGGGCGATCGCTCCGCGCCGGGCGGCCCCTCCCCCGTGCGGCGGCGCGAGCACACATCCCGCACGTAGCCGGCGTATTAATCAGCGCGGGGCCATCTGCGCCCTCCTCGCCGCGGGCGGGGGCTGCCCGCGCCCTTCCCGCACGCCCCGGGGCGCTCCCGCACACCGCTGGGGCGCCAGCGGCAGTAGCAGCTGCGCGGGGCTTCGGCAGCACCGCCGCTCCCGCAGCGCCGGGCCGCGGTGCGTAGCCGAGCCCGCAGCGGCGAAAGTTTTGCCTCGCCTCGCCTGGCCTTGCGCCGCGGCGGAGCCCCTGCCCGGCTCGGCCTGGAGCGGACGGCGGCCCCACGGGCATCGCCTCCCAGCGCGGGCGCCGGCAGAGCAGCGTCCCCGCCGCGCCATGCCGCTGGGGCACGTCATGAGGCTGGACCTGGAGAGAATCGCCCTGGAGTACGTCGTGCCCTGCTTGCACGACATCGGCTTCTGCTACCTGGACAACTTCTTGGGGGAGGTGGTGGGGGACTGCGTGCTGGAGCGGGTGAAGCGGATGCACCGCGACGGGGAACTGGCCGACGGGCAGCTGGCCGGCCCCAGCCGCGGTGTCGCCAAGCGGCACCTCCGCGGCGACCAGATCAAATGGATCGGAGGCACGGAGGAGGGCTGCGAGGCCATCAACTTTCTCCTCACGCTGATAGACCGGCTGGTGATGTACTGCGGGACCCGGCTCGGCAAGTACTACGTGAAAGAACGATCCAAGGTAAGGGTCCGCGGGGCCCCGACCCCCTGTCCGCCCGCCGGCACCGGCTCCCAGCCGGCCCGACCCGCCTCGCAGCTGCCCGTGGGACCTGCCCGAAACTTTCCAGGGGCGCTGGCCCGTGGCGCGTCCGCGCTGTCGGCGGGTGCCTGTGCCCGTGTCCCGCAGCACCGGCCCGGCTGGCGGAGGCGCCGTGCGCTGCCCGAGGTGCTCCCGTGCCGGCAGCCGCTCTCCAGCCCTTGCCGCCGGCTGCGGGGGTCCCGCTGGAAGCGGGGCCGCCCCCTGCGGGTCCCTCGCCCCGCCGGTGCCAGCAGCGCTCCGGGGCGGCTCCTCGGGCTCCCCTTGCCGCGTTTTCGCCGGGCTTTTCGGCTGCCGGAGCCCGTCCGGTCCCTTGTCTTTTCACCTGTGTGACACCGGCCGTCACTTCGCAGCCGTCCCGGGGGCTGCAGGCGGCTCCTCGCTTCTAGCGGCTGGGCTGGAGCCGGCTGCACCCCGCTTGTGGCTGTGCTCACCCCAGGCACGGACAGGGTGGACCAGTGCGCGGCGTACCCCACCAAAAACGTCTAACCTTGACTACGTTTCGCGAGGGAGCAAGATCTCCACCCTGTCCCTGCGAACGTACCCGGCTCTGATCCGATTGTTTGGATGTTTTCGCCCGTGTATTATTCTGAATAGTTTCGCGGTTGCAAATCTTGTGCCGTTCTGCAGCTAAAGAGGTTGTCGTTACTGCGTTGGGTATGCACGGAATACTGGATGTTTCGTTTGAGCACAGCAAACTTTTGTTTTAAAGAGAGAAGTTTTTTTGGTTCCTAGGCTTTCTCAGAAATGGACGGGACACTTGTATTATTAGTTTCTTTCCCAATGAAGTTTACTTGGACTTGTAATGACATTAGTGTGGGATAACTTGTCTTTTCTTTCCTTGTCTATTTTGCTATGGCAAAGTGAACTAGCTTTGAACTAAGTTTACTTTGTTGTCCTGAATGCTGAAAACATCCTTATTTCTTTATTTCTGACTTGACAGAGTACATTTTCAAAAGGTCCTGCTGCTTTTAGAGATATGCTAGAATCAAAAACAATGAAACTTTAAAAAATGACAATAGGGAGAAATTAGGCATTGCTCTTGATCCTAACTTGCACTGGACTAAGGGTATGTGTGAGTGGTACTGTGATTCTCCCCTGAAAAATGAAGAAAAAAGTACAGTGATGTTTACCAGTTGCTTGGGAGCACCCTGAAACCTGCGCATGCACCCCCACACATTTACACACAGTAGTGGGAATAATAAATGTTCCTTATGCTTAGCTCCATTGAATTACTGATCATCAATTCAAACAATCAATTAAAGCTTGGTTAGGTATGTTTTAAAATGTGGGTAGATTGGATTTGACTTATTCCTGTTGAGAGCCTTGTATTAGGAGGCATAAATAACCATCCTGCCTTGGCACACCTTTAAGGTCATTGCCATCCTTTCTCTGGGTGATTTCTGTTTATCTGTTTACTACTGAAAGTGCGTTTCTGGCTAAGGGGGCATGTGTAGGGGTGGATATTGAGCGGGGGTTACTTGAAAGTTGGAGTGAAAGGAGTCTGTCCAGCCTTTTTACGTGGTATTTGTAAAACAAATCAGCTGGATGAATGAAGGATGTTGGCGCTGGCTGGGAAGAAGGGTCTTTTGGGCAGTGACTTTGGGTTGTAGAGATGATTTTAAAAGAGAGTCTTGGTGTTTTTGAAGGCATTCTTGTACAAATAGTAATAAAAAATAGAACATAACTCATTTTATAGATAGTCAGCAAGCTATTTACAATGAAGAAACACTTCTGGCTCTTGTGTTTTAATGTGAAAGTTGTCAGACTCCAAACAGCGCGGCATGGAACTGCTGCACTCCAGTCCAGGACTGAAAGGGACTCAGTATTTCAATACTATTTGTAAAACCAAATGCAGAGAAATTTTCATCAGGCGTTAATAGTAACCAATCCCCTTGTTATAATAAGAAGTGCCATGGGTATATGAGGCCCTGGAATAGCAGCTGCTGTCTGTAACTGAGATGTGGGATGCCTTCAGCAGGAAGATTATTCCTGTGACTAACAACTGATTACTACAGTGCATGCAGTTTAAGACATTTCTTGTGCACCATAAAACCTTCTCATTCTGCTCATCATGTGAAGTCTTATGAGTGCATACACACAAATCCCAAATTTAAATTCAGCGTATTTTTATTTTATCTGGCGGATTTTACATGTAAATGAATGCCCACAAAACTTTCACAGCTTAACATTTGTGGGGATGTGGGGTGTTCATGGGCAACTGGACCAGAACATCTTTGTGGGACATGTGCTGTTGTAATTTATTGTTTGGGATGTAGATATTACTCAGAGTTCAGAACAATTTGTTTAAAATATAAGCCTTTAGGTACATGCTAACTCAATTTGTCATGAAAATGTACTTATGTCATATCAGCCCATCTTTATTTAAAGGTTTATATTTTTAATAAGTAATATGACTTTAGTCTTCAGTGTGAGTGTCGGAAGAAGGCGAGAGATTTCTCCTTGTAAATGAACTTATGTCAGATTATGTCAGTTTAGTGTGAAGTGCTTCATATTTTCGTAGCTACACAAACTTAAGTCCTGAACAACTTTTGTCCAATAAAGGAAATTTTCCTTTCAGCTAAATGAGAGTAACAAGTCAGTTAGGATTGTGCTGTTTCCAAATTAATTTCAAGAGCATTTCAAGAGAGTTAAGATTGCATCAAAGAGAACTGACAGAAGTAAAGTTTTTAAGGGTGTTGGATATTCATAGGAGCTGCTGGTTGGCATTTGAGGGTTGATAATGAAATGTAACCTTTCATCTTTGCAGACCAGTGATACAAATTTATCTTTGGTGTAAGCTGTATTTTAAAATACTGGCTGGTTAAATGATCGAAACATGGTTAAAGGTTGACGGACCCAATGCACTTCTTGTTGGCTTTTGCAGTCTCTTCAACTATCAACTCATCCATTTTCTAGTAAGATAATACAGTGGTTCCCCTTTTCTAGTAGGTAAATGGTTAAGGACGTCACTGAGGCATAATTGACCCAAGTCCAATCTTCTCCTCAGAGTGAGAAGATTGATGTCCTTATGCAGAGGGATGTTCTGGCCTGAGGACAGAAGTCACTCTGTTTTTGAAGACCTGTCACTACTCTGCTGGATTTTTACTTGGTGGAAAAAAGCTAGTGGGTGTTTCAGGTCAGAGGCAAAGCTGCAGCTTGGTCTGTGAGGCCAGTCACCCAGAGTGCCCTCTGGATCAGGTGATGCTCCAGGGACTGCAGGTGAAAGGGTGATGTGCTGCAGCTTCTGACTCCCCAGGTCCCGAGGTTCCTTCTTGGGGTTAACTGGCATTTGCAGGGGCTTGAGGAGGTGCCCTGTAGGAAAACACTGTACTATAAATTTCTCCTTCAAGACTTGAGAAATGTTTTGGTGGTGGGTGGAGTGTCTTTGGAGTTTTGTGTGTTTTGTTTTTGTTTTTTTTTTTTAAGAGACTATGCAGAACCTGGGGGAACTTGGAAGTCACTGATGTGAGGAGTCAGGGGACAGAGTATGGCAGGAACCAGGCTGGTTGACTGGTGTGTGGAAATGTTAAAGTTCTGTTTGCAGTGGGGTGTCTGTGTAATTCATCTGCTGCTGAGAGGCTGTGGTATTGCCCTTTTGTCATTTTGCCTCTGCTGGAGGACAGCTCTCCCTGTGGCTGGGCAGGGTCCCAGAGCAATGCCGTGGGTGCCTGCTGCCCTGGGCTGCCTCAGCTGAGTCAGCGTTTGACGTGCTGCCAGCGCTGCCTTGGTCCTCACGGCAAGGGGTGGAAGGTACTTTGAACTGGTGTGGCTGAGTGTACTCTGCACCTCGCCGTGAGAGCAGCACGTCCTGCTCTGAGTCACAGATACCCTCTTGGGTACCACCAAGGGCTGAAATCCATGTCAGGGCTGCCACTGGGGACCTTGAGCCCATCTTGCACCTGCTGGACACCAGTGAGATCTGCTGGTCTGAAAATAAAGCAAGAATTCCTAATCTTAAGAGCTGCTCTGTGTTGAAAGAAGCCCGTGACTGATGTTTTCAGCTCAGAACAGAACTGTTCACATTCAGTGCCAAGTGTATGACCTGAAGTTAAAAAAAAAAGTGTTCTCAATGTGAGACTAGTTAATTTAAAAGTCCCTATGGGATGCGAACCTTCTCAAAAACTTGCTTCCTCTGCTTGTTGCCATAACACCACCCTGCTCATCCCACCCTGGTGGACCCTCTCTAGTGGTCACAGGAGAAGTAGGTCTTTTGTGGTAGCAGTTCGTAGCTAGTGTGCGTTGGAAACCAGAGTGGGTTCTTCTGCCTATCACATGATGGGGTGTTCTTAGGTATGTTTTGAAATATGGTCAGCCTAGCAGGTTGTTACCAAGATTTCTTTTCCTGAGGATTGAAGAAATGGGTGAGATGTCACAGCAGTAGTTTTACAAAGTCCCTCATAACTCAGGTAATGAGGTAAGGTATTTTTGCATTTGTATATGAAGAAAGAAAAGTACTGTTCTATAACATTCAAACTCCATCCTTTGCAATTAAAACACAGTGAAATGCTGAATTTTCTGGCTTGAGGTACTAATTTGAAGAGTGAGATAACAGAAAACTCTATCTAGGGTAGGCTGAAGAGTGGTACTGCCCCTTGAGATATACTGGCCTATTGTATGTTACAAAGTATTTTTGATACTTGGGTAGCAACATGCCTTGCAATTAGTTTACAATGGGAGGTCTAATGAATACCGCCATCCAGAAGAAATATGCATAATTTTTCTTCTAATCAAATGCACATGTTCTGCCATAATGCACAAGTTCAAATCTGTTCTTCTGGCCAGCTGCCGGCAGAGTCCAGAGCCACTGGAACTGTAAATACAACAGACAAGTAATTTTATGATATGAGACTGAAGAATTCAGCATTGGCACAGATCCTAGTGTGGTTGCTTTGGCTCAGTGTCAAAGCTGATGTGTATATCTG